CAATATTTTTCCCGTGTCGGCATCGCTCACCGTGTTACGTGCCCACACACCTCCCAGCAAGACGGCATCGCGGAACGAAAGCATCGACACATTGTCGAAACTGGCATTGCCCTCCTCACTCACTCCTCGCTTCCCCTTCGTTTTTGGGACGAAGCTTTCCTCACTGCATGCTACCTAATCAATCGCATGCCGAGCCGCACCATTCAAAACTCTACACCTCTTACCATGCTGTTCAATGAAACTCCCGATTATTCTCGTCTACGTACTTTCGGTTGTGCATGCTGGCCTAATTTACGACGCTACAACATTCATAAACTTGATTTTTGATCTCGCCAATGTGTTTTTCTCGGATATAGCAGCATGCACAAAGGTTATAAATGTTTGGATAGATCCACCGGACGGGTCTATATCTTACGTGATGTTATCTTTAATGAACATGTGTATCCATTTGCTAATTCCATTCTGCCAACACCCATTCAACCTGTATCTACATCTATCCCTTTACCACATTCCCAGCCAGTAGCACAGGTTGATCACGTAAGAGATTTTGCTACCTCTTTGTTGGATACTAACCATCCTGCCTCGAGCGATTTTTCTGGTGCAGGTACCTCCCCAGCCGGCTCACGTACGTCCTCTGCTGACGCTGGCAGTGCCATGCAGCCCTCTGTTGACGGGGTTGCTGATGTGAGCCATACCATGCAGCCCGACGTTGTCGTGGATGAGCCTGCGTCGCCGGCCTCCCCTGTTGTGGTTGAGCATGCGCCTGCTTGGACCGAACCGGCCTCTTCTGGTTCGTCCAATACCGCGCTGTCCGACACCGTGACTTTGCGCGCGTCGGCACGATCTCCGGTTGGAGCTGCTCCACAGCAGCCCGAGCAGCGTGGTGTCACTACTCGGCTTCGCAACAACATTGTCAAGCCTCTAGTGCCTACTGATGGCACGGTCCTCTACGACCCACGTCGTCGGGCATTCCTTGCAGCACCCACTTCCTACCGCTCCGCGATGACGGATTCCTCATGGCGTAAGGCCATGGAGCTTGAGTTTGCCGCTCTACAGGAGAACCGCACCTGAACGCTCGTCCCTTGACCGCCGGGACATAACGTCATCGGGTGCAAATGGGTTTTCAAGGTCAAAGAACACGCTGACGGCAGCATCGACAAGTACAAGGCCCGTCTCGTGGCCAAGGGCTTCACTCAGCGGTACGGTGTCGACTACCTCGACACCTTCAGTCCGGTTGTAAAACCGGCAATTGTCCGACTCGTCCTTGCTCTTGCCATCTCGCGCGTCTGGAGCCTTTGCCAGCTTGATGTTAGCAATGCTTTCCTCCATGGCGAACTCTCTGAGACAGCCTATATGCAGCAACCACCCGGCTTTGAGGATCCTTGGTACCCGGGGTATGTCTGTAAACTTCAGTGGGCTCTCTATGGCCTCAAACAGTCGCCGCGCGCATGGTACTCTCGGCTCAGTGATCGTCTCCAGCAACTTGGTTTTGCTCCATCAACAACAGATACATCCCTGTTTATTTTCTCTCATGCCGGCATCACCAGGTATATGCTCGTCTACGTCGACGACATCGTCGTCGCCAGTTCCAGCCCGACTGCAGTTCGGCGTCTATTGGATCAGCTAGCTCAGTCCTTCCCAGTGAAGGACCTTGGGCCATTGCAGTACTTCTTGTGCATTGAAGTGGCTTCCAATTCTGGGGGGTTGAGTCTTACTCAGAAGAAGTATGCTACTGACCTACTTCGACGTACACACATGGAGAATTGCAAGGCAGTGTCAACCCCCATGAATGTGCAACAGAAGTTACGCGGGACATTGGCCAAGCTCTAAATGATGAAGAAGCTTTTGTCTATCACAGTACTAGGTGGTTCGCAATACTTGACGCTCACCAGACCCGACATTTCATTTGCCGTCAATAAGGTTTGTCAGTACTTGGCTCAACCAACGGAGGTTCATTGGGAAGCTGTAAAAGGAATTCTCCGCTATGTCAAGGGGACAATATCTTGTGGGCTCAGTATACGGAGATCAGCATCTACACTCTTGAGCGTTTTCACAGACGCTGATTGGGCTGGATGCGCAGATGATCGGCGCTCAACCGGTGGCTTTGCGGTCTTTTTTGGACCAACCTTAATTTCCTGGAGCGCACGGAAACAACCAACCGTGTCATGCTCATCTACAGAGGCAGAGTACAAGGCACTCGCAAATGGGACTGCCGAAGTTACTTGGGTACAGTCATTACTAAAAGAGCTACATATATCGCAGCCACGCCCTCCTGTACTATGGTGTGACAACCTTGGAGCTACCTATCTTACCGCGAACCCAGTGTTTCATGCAAGGACAAAACACATCGAGGTCGACTTCCACTTTGTCCGAGAGAAGGTGGCACTAGGAGCTCTAGATGTCCGGTTCATTGCTTCAGAAGATCAGGTCGCGGATGTCTTCACCAAACCATGCACGAAGCTGATGCTAGACCGATGTCATCGCAATCTCAATCTTGTCTCTATCGGT